TTACATATCTCACTGATTAGCCAATGAAAAGGGTAGCAGTCGTATGCCAATTACCATGTTTCTCTTTTATTAGTGTAGATAAGATAATCTCACCATGAAAACAACCTGTATTATTTGGTGAATTCAAAAAATCTGAGGGATAAATCAAATTTCTACCCTAACTTTGTTGCAGAAAAATATAAGAGAAGTAAAGTATTTAAAATTATTCCTGCCTTCTTCAAATAAACAGGCTGTAAGGAGGGTGGGGGTGTCATTATTAGCTCAGAAAAAAATTGTTGGCTGCAGGCTACTTTTCGCAAAAAAGAGGGGAGAAAACCTTTATTTCTAGCTCAAGGTACTTCCATTAAAGTAACCCAACTGGCAGGACTATATAGAACCAGTTTAAAATTATATATTTCTTTTCTCCTTATTTGCAAAAAGCTATTCAAGGTAGTTCAATTAACAATCCCCAAACTACTCTAAGAAAACCATTCATCCAGACGAATGTTCTTTTTCTCTGTTAGCCAGAGACAATGGTATAGGTTATAAAGATTTATTAAATTCCATATGATTGATGTAAGAAAATCTAAAAGTTGCATGTTAAAGATGTATTTCAGCTCTGGCTGGTTGCTTAGCGGTTAGAACATCAGTCCACAGATCGAAGGTTCTCGAGTTGGATTCCCGGTCAAGGGCACATACCTCATCCCTTGGTTGCAGGTTCCCCAGCCCCTATAGGGGTGCATGCGGGAGACAACCAATTGATATGTCTCTCACGATGTTTCTCTCTTTCTCTCTCTCTCTGTCTCTCTCTCTCTTCTCCCCTCCCCCCTTCTACTCTCTCTGGAAGTCAATGTCAATGGAAAGAATATCCTTAGGTGAGGATTTCAAAAATAATAATAATAAATAAAATGTAATTTTTTTCAAAGTGTATTTCACTCTTTTTAGAACCTTCTCCATAAACAAGGGTTTCTTAGTTTTGACACTAACAGTTTTGGGTTGGATAATTCTTTATCGTTCTGAGCATTCTACCAAAGGCCAGTAGCACCCAACCCCTTCCCAGCTGTAATAACTAAAAATGTTTTCAGAAACTGCCAAACATCCCGAGAGCCAAAATCACCCCAGTTATAGGAGGAATTTCTCTTAAATAGAAAGCCTAGAGTAAAAAATAAAGGACACCAAAAATGGAAAACATATAGTTAACAGAGGTTTTTTTCCTATAAATTTCCTTAACAATGTACATGGCTATTTAAAGCAATTAATAAGTAACATTGGTCTATAATTATAACATTACTAGAGTCCTGGTGCATGAAATTCGTGCACTGGGGAGGGAGGGTTCCTCAGCCTGGCCAGCGCCCTTTCGCAGTCCAGGAGCCCTTGGAGGGTGTACAACTGATGGCTTAGGCCCATTCCCCACTCTCAGTCAGCCATCCTTAGCATATTAGGCTTTTGTTATATAGGATAAACTTGCTTAATTAGACTTGCTTTCTGATTTAGCTAAACTTTTTCCAGCCCAATGAAGCACTCCAACTCCTGTTTCAGGTAATTGTCAGCAACATAGCAGTAAATATCAACACGAAGTAGATCATGCAGGGAGAACAAAGGGTAAAATATTTAACTGCAGCAGAGTTTGACTATATTCTGCACAGTAAGAAGACCTGAAGTCATTTTCAATGTCCACCATTTCTTCTTTTCAGTCAGGTCAAATTTCTAAGCTTTCTAAATCTCCGTTTTCTTGCTAATGAAAAGAAAATAGGGTTCCACCGAGTTTCCTATCTACCTACTCCAGGACTTCTGTGAGGATCAAATGAGATGAGGCACGGAAAAACATACACAGACATTTGGTTAAAGTGTGAAATATTTCCACCTGGCTATAAAGCAAGTCATGTTCCTGGGCTAAAGAAACTGCAAGGAGGCTAGTTGCTAGGGAGAGGAAGCCAGGCATTGCTACGTAGGTCATTACCTGGTGCCCACAGCCACCGTTTCCAAGCTGGGCTGGGCTGTGGGCTGCATTTTGCACCATGGGGTCTCAGCAGCATCGGCTGTGATTTCATGGGCTGTCGCTCTGGGTGGTGGCAGGGCCTGTGTCCCACTTTGGGGAAGCCGAGTGTTGCTTTGTGGGTGCCAGGTCTGTGGTGCCATTTCTTTGTAAATGGCCAGTGTGTGTCATGTAGCTCCTGCACTGAGCATCTGCCCCCTGGTGGTCAGTGCACATCATAGCAACCAGTCGGACAATTGGACACTTAGCATATTAGCCTTTTATATCTATAGACTAGTTTTTATCCTCACCTGAGGATATGTTTCCATTGATTTTTAGAGAATGTGGAAGAGAAAGGGAAAGACAGAGAGAAACATAAAAGTAAGAGGAACACTTTAATTGGTTGCCTCCTGCATGAGCCCTGACCTGGGCCCAGGCCAGGGAGGAGCCTGCAACCTAGGTACATGCCTTTAGTCAGAATTGAACCCAGACCCAGCAGTGGGCAGGCCGAGGCATTATCCACTGAGCAAAACCAGCAAGGACAGGATATGACATTTCCTAACCCTCCAGCAGCGAACCTTCCTTTTTTTCTCCAGGAGTGTAGTAATAAACCCTAGATCACCTACTTGGATTCTTATTACCCAAGTTACGAAGAATAGTACCAGTGGCATCCAGGGAGCTAAGCCAATGAGCAGTCAGAAAAGGTGTTTCCTCTGTAGTTCACACCAATTGCCGGCTTGGCCCCTGCCCAGGCCTAAAGCCTTTGGCTGAGTCATTAGCCCTGGGCAGGGAACCTCCAGCTCCCTCAATCGTAGGCTCAGCCCCTGCTCCCCATGACCGCTGGCTCTACCCCTGCTCCCCACCATCACCAACTCCCTCCCTGCTCCCTGCAATCGCTGGCTCCACTGCTGCACAGGCCTAATGCATCTGGCCAAGGCCTTAGGCCTGGGCAGGGGACCCCCAGATCTCGGCAATCTCCCGCTCTGGCCCTGCCCAGGCCTAACGCCTGTGGCCCAGGCATTAGACCTGGACAGGGGACCCCCTGCTCACCACGACTGCCAGCTCCGCCCCTGCTCCCCGCAATCGCAGGATCCTCCCCTGCCCAGGCCTAACACCTCTGGCCAAGGTGTTAGGCCTGGGCAGGAAACCAACAGTCCCCCGTGATTGCCAGCTCCGCCCCTGCCCAGGCCTAATGCCTCTGACCAAAGCATTAGGCCTGGGCAGAGCCCCAGCTCCCACCATCGCCGGCTCTGCCCCTGCTATCTGCGATCTCTGGCACCGCCCCTGCCCAGACCTAAGGCCTCTGGCGGAGGCCTTAGGCCTGGGCAGGGGACCCCCAGCTCCCCAAGACCACCAACTCGGCCCCTGCTCCCTGCGATTGCCGGCTCCACCCCTGCCCAGGCCTAATGCCTCTCACTGAGACATTAGGCCTGGGCAGAGGACCCCCAGCTCCCCGCCATTGCCGGCC